CTCAGTCTCCTGCTTGTCCTAAAGCAGTGAGGGATGGGTCATTGCAGTTCCTCAGAATTAGGGAGTTGGAGCAGTTTTTGCTTCCTCGAGAATGGATTGAGATGATCCCCACTCCAACTCTCTCTCTGGATCTCTGTTATCCACTAAGATTGAAATTGGGACTTTCATTTTCCTTATGAAAAACTGGAGGTGGTCAGTTCAAGCAGGAGAGAAGCTACGTTGTATCAGCAGCAAGTTTAGGACTTCACATCTGGGGATAAACATTGCTGGTGCTTATTTGGACTTTTTTCTGGTTTGGATCTAATGATAAGATTCTCAGAAGACCACTCTCTTGTTGGAGAGCTTGGCCCACTTAACTGACAGATTGTGAGGATGTGCTTCATGTCCATCTTCCCTTTTGGTCCCCGGATCCTATGACGGAAGAGATTGTGTGTTTGTCCATTGCTGTGTCCACCTCCACACAGAGTCTGGCCTGTGTACTTCTGATTGACTCTTAGCCAAAGCAGTATTTCAGACTCTATGTAAGTGGACAGAGAAGAGGTGAGGAAGGAAAGGTTAAAAGAGAAATGGATCCTTTGACAAGTAGGTTATTTTATCAGGTGTCCTATGTTGAGAGACAAGCAGAGTGAGCCTCAGGTCTGAATTTGTCCTCTTCCCCAAAGAGGCCTGCCTAAGACTGGGTACTGAGCCTTATGAAAAGCTCAGATAGGCAACATAATAATATAGATCATAAATATACATTATGATCTTTATATATATATTATGATCTTTATAGAATAAAGATCATAAAATGCAAATCAACTTTTTTCTGTGATGGCAATGTTATAGAGAGCTTTTGAATTATTTTGGATAACTTGATAGTCACTTAAAAATTTAGAGTCCTAATTCATAAAGGAGGTGGGGAGATAGGGCGGAGGAGGGCCCCAGGAGCGAACCATAGTGGGGTTGGTGTCAGACTTCTCTTGCCCAGACTTGAAAATCTTTCACTGTTTGAATCTCTTATTTTCTAAATCAGAACTATAATGCTGAACAAGAGATAAAACACCTAGACTTTGTTTAGCTCTTGACTGAGAGGTGATACGACTTCAAGGCTATTCTATGTATAAAATATGGTGGTTAATTATTTTTCATCTCTAGCGAAATGTGTAAATCTGAGATGACAGAAACTTTCAGGTGACAAAAAGGACATAGGACAGAGCCAAACAAATTTTTTAAAATTTGAAGTTTAGGGAAAATGATAAAATTTTTAAAAATTTGAAATTTAGGGAAGATGATAAAATCTCCTATTCTAGGGATATTTAGGAAGAAGGTAGAGTCCATTTCCCTGAGGTTGGAAAGAACAAGGGGTAATTCTATGTGAACAATGGTAACCACTTAGTCTTCCTTGTGCATCAGTAAGAACAGCAAGACCACCCTTGAGGGAAAACTGTACAAAATCCGCCCTTGGAGCTCACAGGGTAGGAGGTCTCTTCTCGCAGAGGATCCCGTCCAAGCAAAACTATTACTACGGCCCTGATGGAAACTCATGGGGAAGGCTGATCTGTGAGTTCCACAAAGCTTATTTGAATTCACGTGTGTTAAGGACCAAGGTTTACCTCATTGGCAATAGTGAGGGGATAATATTGAGGGGACAATTTAATATTGAGGGGACAATAAAACCTAGTCACCCAATATATCCTGTCTCCACCAAACAGCATTGACAACCACCACAAAGAAACCTGTCACAAACTGGGCAGAATCATGCTAACCAAGGCTTTTTACATTTCTTCAGGCAGGGCAGATCGCATCTTTACTCACAATGCTTTTCCTTAGTTTCACCAGCGATATTAGTCATTTCAAAACCTGGATGAGCTTCTCCTGCTTCTTTCTGGGGCCAGTTCTCTTTCCCAAAGGCCGAAGCCCCTCTTCATGTGGGATGACCCTCCAGGCTTTCCCTCTGGAGCATTTGTTGAGGGGGCGGGGAGGGTGAGGGGAACGTTTGCACAGGGCTTTCCCTGAACGATAGTAGGAACAGCTACTCGAAAAAGGAGCAAATCCAGGTTTTCTTTGAGATTCCCAGGGCAGAGATGGAGGTAATGAGGTGTGACCCCACAGAGCTGGATTTTCCACTTGGCCTAACTTTGGGAGTGATTTTTCATTGGAGTTGGAGTAAGAGCATTAAGGGCCAGAGACAGTGACGTGCAGCAGTAAAGGGCAAGGGGGCCCCCGGGGCTGGGAGATTTGATAAATCTGGACAGTATCTCTGAAGGCAAAGAGGCCCCCAGACTGCCTTCAGGGCCTCCTGGAACTGAGGACAGGAAACGGAACAGCAGGTTTCAGTGAACAGCACCTAGAGGAGAGAGAGGCCATCCTGGTGGAGAGGCTGCCCCCTGTGGGGTTCACGGGGGTAGGTGACACCCTCCTCTGTCCCTGCACTGCCCTCGGGGCTCTGCACATCTCCACTTCTGTCTCCCTCACGTAGCGGGCGTGATAGGAGAGGATCAGAGAGTTCCAGCGACTTGCCCCAGGTCACAAAGTGAGCATGTGAACATATTTGGTCTAAAATCAGGCTCCAGAATCTTTCTCAGACTCCACTGTCCTTTCCATGAATAATGTTTATCTTTGTTTCTCCCTTTCTCCCAAGCTTTACAAAGAGACACTATCTCCCGGAAGGAGAAATATTTGGAGGTTGTCAGACTTGCTGACCCATGCATTTGGTGACCCCACAGAACATTCTGGTGGCTGGTCAGAGCTCTCAAGGAAGCAGCTGCCACTTTTTCTTCCCTGGGGAGCTGGTTGGGTGAGCTCCTTCAGTCACCGAAAGTCCCTTCCCCAGATAGACTCTGGTTTTCCACCGGCTTCTCCCGCTGCTAAAATAAAACCGGGCTAATCCCGCAACCACGCAATGTCAACAGGTGGACTCGCCTCTCCAGCATTCGTCAGAGGTGTGAAGAGCGTCCTTTTTTTTCTGTGCACAGCTTTGTTCCTCTGGCCGCCACATGTATGTCCTGATCCCGCTGACCTCCTCTGATTACTTCTGTGCCTGCTCTGCCAAAAGCCTCTTCACAGTGACCGTTTTCTCTGGTTACTCCGGCTGAACTTGGCTTTCAGAGTTACCTTCACTTCTCTTTAAAAAGCAACGTCCATGGGCACAGGCGCAAGCTGTGGACGGGGCCGTTGGGCTGTGAAAAGCTCCGATTGCCCCCCGCTCCCCCACCCCATTCCTATTAACCCCACAGATGCTGTCGGATGACCTTCTCATGTCCTCCGGCCACAACGTTGCCATTGTAGAAAGCAATAGCAACAAGTGCGTGAGGAATTGAGGACTCCAAGGGCGGGCTTGGTCTGGGTTTTTAGTCCTGCTGCAGAGAAAAGAACTAACCACGGTGTGTGAGTTCACAGCACAATACAGACACGATGGGAACACAGTCAAGCACACAGCAGCCCCACCTGACACATTCCCCAAACAAGCAACTGCGCGGGTAATGCATCTCACAATTTATTCACTTTGGGCCACAGGGCCACTCGAACAGACTTTGTCCACATTTTCTTAGTGCATCTTTTTTTTTTTTTTTTTTTGAAACCATCCATTCAAATAAAAGAATTAGGTCAAATACACCATAGTTAAACAGATTTGAGATTTGTTTAGATCTTAGACTAACACCACCATTTAATAGGTGGTCTTCATATGGCCTATGGAAGCCAACAGTTTTTAAGGAATAAAGAAAAGCAGAAAACCAAATATGAATTTGGGGCCACTTTAGGAAAAGTAAATCACAGAAAGTTCCATTAAAAGCATCTTTGTGTTGTTAAACTTTTCAAACTTCCAAAATGTGATTTTTGGCCATTATGCAAATATTTTAGAGACAGAATAATTTTTTTTTTAAAGGACACCTAATCCATTTCTCTAATGAATGATCAAGAAAGCAGGGGGTACAGGTGACTTCAGTTTCACAGGCAAATATATATGGGGTACACATTTGTATGTCTATTTTCTGATTACATCTTACTTCAGGTAATGAGGGTGCTTGGTCCAGATGGGGTTCGTCGGGGGCAGAATTGCCGGACGGTGTGAGAGAAGTGGGTGGCTGAGCTCTGTCACATCTTGCTGGGAGAGAATGAAAATCAGGGGCAAACAAAAGGCAGTCCTTAATGGGCTTGCTCTTTGCAACTCAAGAGGATGAGTAAAATGAGTTCACCCCAAGAATTATTTCTAGAGAACTCCAGGGAGAAAATCTGGAGCACCTGCCTGATCTGCAGAAAGTGACAGGGGGTTTGGTTGGTGGTGGAGGACCCCCCAGTGCAGTGCCCCTGATTAGAGCAATGATTTATTCCCCACAGGTGACGTGGGCCCAGAATTTAGCTGTCTGAATTGGAGGCACGAGAAAGCAATTTCGCCTTTGCTGCATTTGCCCTGGGAGCCACGTCCTTAGGGTGAGGTCTGTTTGCTTGATGCCGATGGCACCAGTCTCTCGGCCTATCTGTCAGTCCTCTCTGTTCCTGAGGCTAGAAGAGTTTTTCCTGTTTCCCCTTCTGCCTTGGAGCTGATGGGGTAATAGAGCCTTCCCGAGAGAGAAGAGCCTGAGTCGTGGGGTCAACACACAGCAGTGAGATGAAGACACAGAAGTAGGTAAGCACCCAAGACTTGGGCCCAGAGACAGTCACCTGTGAGAACAACTATGTGACAAAGCCCAATCCAGAGCCCTTCTAACGGGGTCAGGAGCCTGGGAGACACATACAGCATTCCTTCCAAGGAGGTGATTAGCTGGTCCTACTAAAAGAACTATCCCAGTTGGGTAGGGGCTTGGGTTCAGCCCTCCACCGGACTCTGAGGATTCTCCGTCGTCCCTGGACCTCGGAGGAGCAAGCTGGTGCTCTGGGATGTGTAGAGCAACAGATGTGGAGGTGCAGAGGGGGTCACCTCAAGTCTGAGCAGGAGACCCAAGCTGCTGGCCTCTCTGGGCCTGGAGGCAGCTGGATGAAGAGGGCAGTGTCGCTCCCCCTAGCTGGTAAATCTCGTGGGGGTGGGAGGGGTCCCAAGACAGCGAGTTGACTTGGATGCAGCTTTTGTTCCTGTCAGGGCTGCACACGACAGGGGATGGGAGTCCCTTGACTCTTCAGGGCTTGCCTCTGGCCATACCCATGGCTCCTCTTCTGCTGCCCTGCTCGCAGGCTTGAGTCTCCCTCCAGCCCCTCACCTTCCTGGGGGAATGCGCACAGAACTGACTTGACAGAGGGGGAGTGGAGCATTTGGCAGTGGTGACTTGCTGCAGTCCCTGTATTTTCATGAAACAGCACCAAGATCGGCTGCTCCCTCTCCCTCTCCCTCTCTTAAAGCTGGAGGCTCAGAAGACAGGGATCTGGTCTCTCCGGACCACATCTAGGTCATCATCCAAGGTTAACAAAACCTGGAACGAGAGGGGCAGAGAGATGACGGGGCTGCACAGTCACAGCCGGGGTAAGCACCTACCCACACAGGCTGGCTCTTACCCCTTACTTGCCTTTCTGTCCTCTACAGCTTTCGGCAATGCAGCGCTCTCTACAGGTGATTATTACGATTACATAATTCATGTATTAATTCAAATGTTTATGGGGGGGTCTATGGTGTGCTATTCTAAATGCCAGAGATATAGTTTGGAACACAAGGGACAAAACTCCCAACCCTTCTGGAGCTTACATTTGAGAGACAACTTCAGATGTGAAGCAAATACCTGAGTACAGTATAGCGTGCTAATGAGGTGAGCTAAGTATGGTGTACTGGGTAATAATATGCAATAAAAACAGTAATGGAAATTAGACTACGGAGGGGACACAAGAACTATGGGGTGAGGAAAGGTAAAAAAAGTGCTAATAGGGTGGCCAGGGAAGTTATCACTTAGGGACATTTGGCTTATGATCTAGAGGAAAGGAAGTCTTATTGCATATAGAGTATGGCTATATAAGAAATGCACACCCCTCCTCCATTTTTAGTTCCATCTGCCATCACTTCTTCGCGTGGAAACTTTCACCCCACTTTTGTTTATCTCTTTTTCTCTAATGAAAGTGTTCATCAGAAATAAAAGTCACGAGGAACGAGGTTTATGCGGATTGTTGAACTTCCCCAGCTAACCACCAGGGGGCAGCCCCGCTCCGCTCTCGAGACAGTGCGGCCGCAGCGCCCGCACCTCGGGGAGTGCCGGGGCACAGGTCTCCTTCGCCGCGTTGTTTTGCCGGCTGAATCTGTGTCCAGGCACTGCGGAGTTTTAATTTGGAAAAATCTGTAAATGAGGATGAATCGATGCCAGGAGTGATCATCCAAGGTTCTTAGTATATGCACAGCTTCTGGAAAGGTGTTTTGGGTCGCAAGAAATGGAGGGATTACAGGAGAGGTCTGGGGAGACTGGTGAGAAGCAGCAGAGGCCTGGGCTGCTCTCCTGAGTACGCTAGGAATTTGTAAAATATCTGTAAGATATTCAGTGAGACTGGAAGAGGAGGAGGAGTGTGAGGGCAGCACAGGGAGGAATATTCTAATGTCACCCGAATGTGAGTGAATGCCTAAGTGATTCTTGGGGCGATTCATGCCATGAGAGTTCTAACAACAAATTCAGTCCGGACCAGGGGCATTTCAGAAAAATCATTTTGTCACTCTGTCTTAAAATATTCGGGAGTAAAAGGAAAAGGAAAACAAAGCTCTAACTGAAGGAGAAAAAAAATAAAATCGTCTGTATACTGAATTACAATGAGGAACTGGAAAGGGGAGTACGAGAGAAATACAAAAGGGTAAGGAAGAGGGGGAAAAAGAAAAAACGTATGGGATGTGAAGAAAGAAGAAATTAACCAAAAGGTATTTTTAGGGGCGCCTGGGTGGCTCAGTCAGTTAACTGTCTGCCTTCTGCTCAGGTCATGATCTCAAGATCCTGGGATCCAGTCCTGAGTGGGGCTCCCTGCTCAGCAAGGGGTCTGCTTCTCCCTCTTCCCCTGCCTCTCCCCCTCCTCCATTTCTCTCTTGCTCACTCTCAGTCTCCCAAATAAATGAGCAAAATCTTTTTAAAAAAGTATATTTCTTTAAAAAAAGTATTTATCAACTCACCAAGAATGAGAAGAACAGAGCAGTGGCAGAGAGGAAGTGCCAGACGTCATGGTCATCAAAGAAATCCAGCAGGATACACTCCTGGTTCTTCTCCCGGGATTCGGCTGGGGTGCCCTGGAGGAAGGTGAGACAGGATGTGGGTGAGCCTTCCCACAGTTCAACTCTTTAGAGGGCCGAACATCCAGAAAGCTACGAAGACACTACTGGATGCCTGGCTCCAAAAGTAAGCTTCCAAAAAAACAGGAGTCCACACAAAAACGCGTACACCTGCATTTGCAAGAGCCAAAGAATGGGAACAATCCACATGTCCAGTGACTGATGAGAGAGGAGGAGCGCTGTCTCCACACAAGGGAGTGTTATTCAGCAATAAAAAGAGATGGCTACGGACGCATGCGACCCCATGGATGAGTGCCTGCGCCAGACTCAAAGGCACATGCTGCATGATAAATGGGTAAGAAATATCCAGAACAGGCAGAGCTATAGAGAGAGATTAGCGGTTGCCTATGGCCAAGGTGTGAGGGAGAAATGGGGAGCGGCAACTAATGGGTCCAGGCTGGCTTTCTGGGGTGATGGAAATGTTCTAAAATCGATTGTGGTGGTGGAGAGTGGAGGCCTCCTCTCTGTTACCGGGTGCAATCCTGGGTTCCCAGGCCTCTGCTCTCCTCTCTGTGCCATGGATTTACAAAGGCCAGTAGCTGAGGATCCGTTTATGGATGCAGGTTAGGAGAAGAACATGCACGCAACAAGGTTTTTACACACATTAAACATCACAGGGGGTGTGGGTGGGATCGTCCCACGACATGTAATGAAGATCAGTTCTACCCGATCTCTCTCAGAAAAAGCTTCCATTTCAAAGACAAACAACCACAAGTGTGTGAAGAGAGGGAGGTAGGAAGGTCCGGGAGGCAAGACGGAGGGAGAACATTTCCTTGGCCAAGAAAACCACCCTCTTACCTCCCAGCTGCTGAGATTCTGGAAGAAAAAGTACAGCGAGGCAGCCCACATCAAAGCTGTGGCCACGATGCAGAAGAGCGGGATTGGAAGGAGCTTCTCGGAGCTTCGAAGCTGTGGGTGGGAAGTAGATGCTGCCCTGCTGGGGTCCTGCGTGCACGCGCCCCAGGGCTGCCAGGGTGGGGGCGGACCCCCAGCGCCCACTCTTACCTTCATGATGATGTAAAAGGCCAGGTAGAGCAGCAGGTTACAGATGAAGATCCCCAGCATGTAGGAAGCGAAGTCCCTGGGCCGATAGACCAGTCCAAAGAGCGCGCTGGGTGTAAGGAGAATGACTTTGTAGGCATCAAGGCGGATTCGTAACTTTCTTGGCTTCTTCACTCCCCACTTGTATTTTGGGGAGGAGGGTGATTAAAAAAAACTTGAACCTCCATAAATTACAACACCTCTTTCAGACCTGGCATTTTTGATGATTGTAAGAGTCCCATAAGTGGAGGTACCACAATCATCTTTCGGGCCTAGGCGTCCTGCAGCTTTTCATTATTCTAAAGAACACCTCAACAACTAACTGAATCCCTTCAAACACAGCGCGCTTTTCTTTCTTCTTCTTCTTTTTCTTTTTTTTTCTTTTTTTTGCATTTAAGATTAATTCATTAGACTAGATTACTGGAAGTAGAATTATCTCAAAAATTGCCTTGACACACATTATCAAATTCTTGCTCGCTGCCTGTGGTTTTTATTTTTATTTTATTTTTATTTTTTAAAGATTTTATTTATTTGACAGAGAGAGATCACAAGTAGGGGAGAGGCAGGCAGAGAGAAGAGAGGAGGAAGCAGGCTCCCTGCTGAGCAGAGAGGCTGATGCGGGGCTCCATCCCAGGACCCTGGGATCATGACCTGAGCTGAAGGCAGAGGCTTTAACCCACTGAGCCACCCAGGCGCCCTGCCTATGGTTTTTAAACCAGTACTGAAGTTTATTTTGGTTGGGGTTTAGCATGAGCCTTTAGCATGTTCCACATTTCTATTCAGTTACACTAAAACTCTTTATTATAAGACCCTTCCTATGTCTTTGTTTTGAAAAGCTTGTTTTTATAAATATAGACATGTACACAAACATAGTTGGATTTCTATCCTCTCCACGCTGCTTCACTAATTTGTTGCTAATTTCTAATTTTGGGTCACCATGTTATTATTTTATTTTATTTTTTTTTTTAAAGATTTTATTTATTTATTTGACAGAGAGATCACAAGCAGGCAGAGAGAGAGGAGGAAGCAGGCTCCCCTAGAGAGCAGAGAGCTCGATGCGGGGCTCTATCCCAGGACTCCGAGATCACGACCTGAGCCGAAGGCAGCGGCTTAACCCACTGAGCCACCCAGGCGCCCCACCATGTTATTATTTTAGACTATGTCAAATTATCTGATTAGGCTAGCTTACACTACCCAGTATGTGGCTACATGTGGCCATTTACATCTAAATTAATGACAATGAAATAAAATAGAAAATTCAGTGCCTCAGTCACACCAGCCACATTTCAAGTGTTCAGTAACCATATTTGGCTGACAGCTACTGTATGGGACAATGCCATGTAGAACATTTATATCACTCCAGAAAGTTCTGTTGGATAAAACTGGACTAGTCACTATACTCCTCTGCCCTTTGTTCTGTTAATCTTCTTTTGTGGAGACCTTCGGAAATTTTACGCTAAGTAGGCAAATAATTTCAGAATAAAATCTTACTAACTTAATTCTAAGTTGAAATTTATGCATGCACTTGAGAAATAATATCTTTACAACAGCTGATCTTCTCACCTAGGGCGTGACATCTCTCTTCATTCAATTAAGTTTTCCTTTATGTCTCCTAATAAGGTTAACTAAGTTTTCTGCGAAAGGGTCCTCCTATCTCAAAGTTTATTCTGAAGTATTTGAAGTGTAAAGCTGTTCTTAATGGACTTTCTTTTGGTTCACTTTGTATTCCAACCAACTTTGTTCTATATAATATAGGAAATTTCCTCCTCCAAGAATTTGAATTCTTCAATATACCAAAAACTCTTGTATACTTTTTACTCAGATTCACCCATTATTAGCAGTTGCCACATTTGGTTTATCTCTCTCTCATTCTGTGTGTGTCTGTGGACTTACATATATATGTACATACATCTCTCTCTTTCTATGTACACAGACTCACACCATCCTTCATGACCATATAAGAGTGATTACTTTTAAAATAACATTCATATTAAGTCATACCATGACTTACAGGACACCATGTCCTGTAATGTCCACAAGAAACTGAGGATGGAGGAACGAAGAGGATGGTAACCCCCTACCAGGCTATCCTAGTGTTGGTGTGTCATCACACCTCATTCATCCCTGCAGGCCTTGATGCCCAAAGAGTTCCTGTATAAGAAAAGAGAGGCCATTCACCTTGTCTTGTGAGCAGATTATGTGTTTGGTTTTGGTTACAGAGAGGCAGGGACAAGCCAGGTGATTGTCAGTACTGGTTTTCAGTTACTCGTTATCAAGCAATTGGTCCCTTTCCTCCTACCAGCACCCAGCACCCTTTCTTGCAGTCATCAGGACTGTGCAGTCTGCCCCCAAAGAGTGGTCAGGAAGAGCACCAAGCTCCAAGAATCACCCACCTCAACGTATCTCTATGTAAAGGAGGTGTAGACCTTCTCTACACCTTCACATGTGTAGACCTTACCTGGAGGTAATCCCTGGGTGACAACATTATGGGCAGATTTTTCCAGAAGCATTACCCCAAATAAGTTTTGAATTGTCATGACCAGATTCTGGCTTCCCCTGAAGAGGAATGCCTCTTCTTCCATTCCTTTCATGTCTTAAAGGGGGGCAGGGGTAGGGAGTCATCTTTCTATCAAAGGTTGCTGAACTTTCTAGCACATCATCTAAGAACCACAAATAAAAGCAATTAAATTTACTGATTTTTTTGGAGGGATTATTCACATTTTAATTTCACTTATTCACATTTTAAAGTTGAGAACACGTTGTATAAAATATAGATAGAAAGGGACACCTGGGTGGCTCAGTTGGTTAAGCAGCTGCCTTCGGCTCGGGTCATGATCCCAGTGTCCTGGGATCGAGTCCCACATCGGGCTCCTTGCTCATCGGGGAGCCTGCTTCTCCCTCTGCCTCTGCCTGCCATTCTGTCTGCCTGTGCTTGCTCTCTCTCCCTCTCTCTCTCTCTGACAAATAAATAAATAAAATATAGATAGAAAATATGTGTCTGTTGTACTGTTCTATTTTGAAGGCATTTGAAGACAAAAGGCCAAGGTGATAATGAAGGGAAAGAAGAAGGAGGATATTGGTGTGGTAGGAAGATTGAGACTACAGGGAAAGAAAGAAATAGGAAAGAGACTTGTACACCCCCCCACACACACACTCACACAGTAAGAAAGGGAAATGTCTGCTGGGTAGCATTTATGGAGAGTTCTACAAGAATTTAAAACTATGCTTCATTTTTACATCTACTTGCTTAGTCTCTATCATCTAACTATCTGCATAGTCTATCCATGCAGATAACAAATTTGATGTTGGTCTTGTTGAGCAAATGAATTCAGTGCATTAAACTCAACTCAGTGCCTGAAGAGAGGCCACTGTCACTACACAAGGCTTCTTAGTGCATTCTTTGCAGAAGGAAAAAGTACCTTTCTTTCAAGTCCCTGGGGCAAGCACAGTCTTACACTCACCTTAGTTTCATATTTCTTTATAAAAATGACAGCCAAGGAAAGCGAAACCATAGTTTTCTAGACATCAACGAAGAGAGAAGACTTGTCTTCCTAAGACTACTTACAAGGACCAGTTCACCAGATTCCCCACGATGAGCAACACCATTCTGTCCTGGTAAGAAAACATCAAATGAGAGGCTACACACATCGCTTTTCTTTTAACCTACCACCTGGGAAACATCTATTACAGGAAAACAATTGCCTGGTGGAAGAGTTTCCATCGTTCTTAAGAAAGCTGTGCGATAGTCGGACCCTAACCCGCCATGAGAACCAACTGCAAGTCCTGGGACTGAGCAGACGAAACAGCGTCAAAGATGTGGTCAGTAAACAGAACTCTTACTGATTCCCCACAGTGCTGAGGGTAGCTGGGCACCTGGGGCCCACTTCTCAGTGAGCAGTGTCTATAGCTGACTCTGTAGTTAAAAAGCATTAAGCTGCTGATCTTCCCTGGCATTGTGTTACTTCATGGGCCATGTGGTGGCTTGTGGGACTCACCTGGGAGGCACTGGTTTCCTGCCCATTACTCTGGCTCCACGGAGGCCCTGAAGTTCCCAGGCTCCTGATCTCTAAACACACAGATTCAACACTAAAGACACTAGTAGTGGGAAAAATTGGAAAGGTCCATCTCAGAGGAAAATGACTCTGATAGGGATTCATTCACAATCTGGTCCTGCACCTCTGCGTACAACTTAAAACTTTTAGGTGGTTTCTGATTATGCTTTAATTTGCATGGCCTCGCTGACTATTTAAAAGTGGCGATGCTCAGTCTTTGTGGGTGATCCATCCAGTTTGGAGGAAATATCTTCATTAAAAAAAAATGAATCCATCTATTAGAAAGGCTAAAACATGGGTCCCCCCAAATGTTAACATGGATGTGGAGCAATAGGAAGGCTCATTCACTGCTGCTGGGAATGCCCAATAGTACAGCCACTTTGGACTGTATACAGTTTGACAGTGTCTTAGAAAACTATATATAGTTTTTTTTTTTTTTTAAGATTTTATTTATTTGTCGAGGTAGAGGGAGAGAGAGCGAGCACAGGCAGACAGAATGGCAGGCAGAGGCAGAGGGAGAAGCAGGCTCCCCGCCAAGCAAGGAGCCCAATGTGGGACTCGATCCCAGGATGCTGGGATCATGACCTGAGCAGCTGCTTAACCAACTGAGCCACCCAGGCGTCCCAAAAACTATATATAGTTTTGCCATACGATCCAGAAACTGCCCTCCTAGGTACTTGTCCAAAAGAATTTAAAACACCCTAAAACATAGGACCACACAAAAACCTGCGTACAATTTTTTTTTTTTTAAGTAGGCTCCATGCCCAGTGCAGAGCCCAATGTGGGGCTCGAACTCACGACTGTGAGATCAAGACCAGAGCTGAGTCTAGAGTCAGATGCTCAACTGACTGAGCCACCCAGACACCCCTGAGCTCCAATTTTTATAGCAGCTTTATTTGTAATTGCCAAATTACAAAGTGTCCCTTGGCAAGTGAATGGATACACAAAGTGTAGTAATGCATCCAGACCATGGAGTGGTATTTGGTGCTGAAAATTAATGAGCTACCGAGCCATGAAAAGACACGGAGACATCTCAAATGCCTATTAATAAGTGAAAGAAGCTAATCTGAAAAGGCTAAAATCTGTATTATTCCAGCTATATGATGTTCAGGCAAATGCAAGACTTTGGAGACAGTAGAAAGATCAGTGGTTTCCAGGCATCAGAGGGGAGGGGGAGTGGGAAGAACAGGTGGAACCCAGGGGATTTTTAGGGCAGGGAAACGACTTTGTAGGATACTACAATGGTGAATCCTGTCATTACAAATTTGTCAAAACTCAAAGAATGTACACTACAGACTCGGAATGATTATGACGTGTTCATGTAGGTTCATTGATTCTAACGAATGTATAGCTTTGGTTGGGGGTGTGGATAGTGGGGGAGGCTGTGCATGGGTGGGGGAATGGATCGATGGGAAATCTCTGTATTTTTGGCTCAATTTTTTGCGGATCCTAAAAAGCGGCTCTAAAAAAATAGTCTATTAGAGGGGGAAAAAAAAAAAAGACAGCCTGTATCCCTTACTGTAAGCAAGCAAACAAATAAAACGTTAATTGTTCTTCCCGGCTCACAGCTAAAGCATGCTTAACTCCCCAAAGACTCACAGGTCCTACTGAATTTTTAAGTTTTCACATGAATAAAACCCTATAGGTTTGGTGCCTACAGCTCCTGCCCAAGCTCTAGATGCCTCAGATATTCTCATATTGCTTTACGTAAACATCCTGGGATCATACGCTGTTAGCAAGTACTTAGGGAACTCTGGTGTGCCAGGCCCAAACAGCAGCACCAGTTGCTGCTGTAAAGGTCCCCCGTGACTCAGGGGACATATGTGGCCTTCCTAAGGTCACTGGCCCACCAGCCAAGATAGAGTTGGGACCAGGGCCCCCATCCCTCTACTCCGTGGAGCAATGTATAATATACTGAGAACAATGGTGAATTTTTAGGACTTGTGTTTCAGCCACTAATGAATAACCACAATTTTGAAAGAATATTCTTGCCCACTGTAAAAAAGTCAAACAAGGTAAAAAAATCAAACAAATGTATCCTGTGGAAAGCACAAGTTCTTACTGAAAGCAACTGGAGTGATAGGTGCCCAGGTTTGCTTGGGACAGGCCTGGTTCGTGCCTGCTGTCTGGGTACAATTATGGAGTGAGTGCCTCTTCCCTTTCCCCAAGTGAAATAATCATAGTTCTTCGGGTGATTTTATACATGGATGCCCTGCCTTGATCCTTCCCCAGAGCAATTGTCACTGTTTAGTAGTTTTCTATGTATACACATATGTTCTCTTTATACACTAGCAGCGTTTCATGTATAAAAATAGATCCAACCCAGCTTGCTTTCCCATGAACGAGAAGAGAAAGTAACACGCTTCTTCCCCCTAACTGGACCTCCGCCACCCTGGGCCATCTGGCTCTCTCGACTTAGAGAACCTGAGCGTCTGCCCCGAGCCTGCTCCTCCTCCTGTTCCCGCGCTCTCTGGGAGAAGGCCAAGCAAGGCACACAGGATGCGCACGTACCATGTACAGCGGCCGGCTACACTGGTGGACAAAGTCCGTGTAGAACACCATCGCAGCCCGTCGGAAAATCCCCAAGTCTGCCGATGACACAATCGCATGGGAAGGCTGAGTCAGAGGTCATACAAGATACTCCCCAATGGCCCAGGCTTTGAGGGCCAAGATGATGTCGCCTTCACTTTATGCTTTGCACACCGAATAGGTCAGCAATATATGTTGGCCTTAAAAACCAGTGTCTGCCGCCCCCAGGCTGTTCCGGGAGGCAAGCTAGATCCAGGCATCAACCTGCAGAGAGGCAAGTGAGGGGGACACAGTAACAAGCGCTCACCAGTAATGTGGGTGGCTGGCCAGGCATTCCACGGGCCCCTTGGGCTAAGATTCCCTTTGTTTACAGTTCACCCCAGTGCTGGTTCCTCTAGAGCAGAGATGTGACCCCTCAAGCTACCTTAAAACACCTGCTCTCTCTAGAGGATGGGGAATCTTCGCTCACAAAAATTCTAATCTATATTTCTCCATGTGGTTCTAAGTCAGTAAGAACTGAACCCTGGGGTACTGCCATTTATGAAGCATGTTCGGAAAGCCTAAACTTGTCAGGAAGCTGGAATCAGAGGGTTGTAAGTTTAAGAAGGTGAGAAATAGACAGGAAAGGAAGTTTTAAGTGCTGTCCTTCAAAAGCATAGGATGAAACACAGCAAGTGTAGGTGTTATGATTGTCGTATGAACAGAGTGAGGGTCACAGGTAGAGCAGTCTTTCTGCGGGCCATCTACCCCGCAGACGTCACAGGAAGGCTGGGGTCTGCTCAAAGCCAGCATTTCTGCGAGAGGGGACCCCAGCTCTGTTGTGAACGCTGTTCCCCTTCATGTCTACCCCTGGGGTCAGTGGAACCAGACTTCTCTAGACTGGCTATACTGCGGGATGGAGGAGGGAGGGGTGGGTCCATGCAATAGCCCAGAAGAGGCAGGGGGCAGGCTGGGTAGGAGCGCATCCCTGACCCTTCCCCCCTCTCTCCCTCCTCCCCTCACTGATCGTGCTCAGCCTAGAAGGGGGTTCTGGGGAGCAGAGCTGGCAGGACAGCCCTGCCTGTCGCTTTGTTAAGAAAACAACCAAGAACCCTGGGAAGGGTGGCTGAACGTTACCTGTATCAGACCCGTCTGAATCAGTGGAAAGCAGAGAAGAAATGAGAAAAGAAAATGGTATAAGAAGGTAGCCAAACAGGTAAACTACTGGTCATTTTATTTTTCCTCTCAAAGCGATGACTTTCATTTTATTTTCCAATTAAAAAAATAATGTTTTCTCATCGTAGAGAACACAGAATCTTTCTGCCTGGCTCAAACATTCCCAAGTCTACTATTCCTTAGAGGGAAGGAGACGTCTGTCTCTCCCTATCTCCTTCGGGCACTGCTTGCAATGTGCTGTCCGTCCTCTCTCATGAGCAAACCCCTGCTCTGAAGCATAGTCAGGATCTGGGCAAGGAGTTCTCTGGTTTTCTGTCCCCTTAGGAAATGCTCTGTCCCATCCCTGCTGCCTTTCCCGTGTCCACGTTCATTTTCAGGTAGGGCCTGAGGGCCACAGAGAAGGGTGTAGGTCATTCTAGAAATCAGAGGCAGCTTATACAATGGGCAGTAAGGCTGGTGTTGGCTGAGCCACGGTCCACTAGCCCAACTTTCCGTCTTCGGACTAAATATAGTTGCGACCATTGTCACCATAGAATGGCACATTTTCCTTTAGACACTGGTAAATCTGTGATCACTTGAGGAAGACTCCCTGAGTAGAGAAATTGAACATCTCAGTGATGCTATGCACTGGCTGTCCTCCATTGACCTTGGCCACACCTCTGTCCCACATGGATTTGGATAGCGGGAAGCCCTAGCAGGAGATTGGAGGGGCTCAGGGAAGAGAGTGAGCTTGGAGTGTACATCCACCTGGCACCTTCCCTGGGAGGATGCCTCAGACTGGCCCATGTCTGTCATCTAAAGGTCACTGCTCCTTTCAGAGTGACTTCCTCTCCTTCCACATTTTGGTAACCACTCCCTCCCTGTCCTTTGGGCTTCTTTGCTCCTGACTCCAGGTTGCCAGGCTACCCCATTCACTCTCCTCTACCTCGACCTTGTCTAAGGAAGGGTCCCTTTGTGATCAAATCCTCCATCTTCATGTGTGACATCTTTTTCCTGTTGAGACGCTCCAGACGATCACATGGCCATAACATAATACATTACATTTCTCCTTTTTAAGAAGGTAAACTAATACAGTAAGGCAAAATCACATGGGGCAAAAGTAGTATAAATATACTAAAAGCTCCCTTATGTATTATTAATGGCCCCTCCTGTCACATATATCTGAATTCAAGTTTGTTTTTCCAATTCTGGGAGAACCCGGGAGAAGCCAGAACAACAGTGCTTCAAATTATTTTCCTTTTCAAAGTTGACTTTGCATGACTTCACTCACCTGTGAGTCTGGAGGTTGGGACATGACCAGAGCCCAAACCAAATGCTCTACACAACCACTTAGCGATGCTTCCACTGGACAACTTGAAGATACATTGGCTATGTTAACGCCAAAGGCAAATCTGCTGACTGAGCCCAAGGAGAAAACTACACTGCTGAAATTGTTTTATTCAGCTTTCTAATCATAAAGCAACTTGTTTATGTAGAATCACTCTTAGACCTGGCCAGATTTTAAAGGTCGTCAATCCCCAGTGAGTGAGGGGTCTGCTGGATGAGGGAGTTACTCCTTCTCCTTCTGGACCACATTCTGAATTCCAGAGCTCAGAGTTCTCTGCCCAGATGGACTTGAGTTCATTCAGAGCCTGCATAGCCCTCTTCACCCGTCGATCTTCCTGAGGGCATTGGGTGCTGTTAGAGTGAGCACCTCTAGGGGCAAGGAGTGGCCAACTGGATGTTGGGCAAGAATGTTGATGTGCACACCTGTGAGACTGCTTAAGATGCAGGACAGAGCCAGAGTGGAAAGAAAAGACGGATAGGGGCCGGAGACCAGCTCTCCTAATCAGCTGTGTTCTGGAGTGTTCTTGAGGAGCTGACAATTTTAAATTTGAGCCTGGACCTTCTAGGTTGTAATGAAGGTATATTATATTCATCAATTTGTTGGTCTCCCTCTCTCCCTTCCTACCTCCCTTTCTTCTTTCCTTTATTTCATGTATTTAATAGGTTCTTTTTTTTTTTTTTTTTAGCCTGCTTTAGAACTTCAAAATTTTTACACATATGATTATGTGGACTTTTATTCACAGTCTTGCTTTGGGCTCTGCAAATATTAGGGATGGGCCTATGTTTATATGTAATTAGTTTTCTTGAAACATATAAAAGAATATTTAAGTCTGACTTCCTGGCCCTTCAAAGGACTGGGGAAATGTAATTCTCTACAATGACTCAAATCTGTTCCCGCATATAACGAGTGATGGTCCCAGATCAGAAATGGATTTCCATGGAGCAGTCAGTGCTCTATGGTGGTACGTGTACATTGTTGTGAGGGAGTTCAACCGGTGTCCTGCCTGTTAAGAATGGTAAGTCTCAAAGTATTCGTTCCAGTCCCGGAATTTGAAAACAATATAGAATTCATTCTCGATAACCATTTAGCCTGCTCAGAGAAATGCTCCTTTTAGATGCTACAGACTGAAAAGGATTTCTCTAGGTGGAACGAGTGGCACGATGGGTGCACCATTCTTCAAACACACTTTCAGAGTTCCGTGAGTTATATAGCACTGGGACTTGGAGCTGGAGGTCTGCCTCAGTCTGAGGTAGGGCAAGCTTAGTTCTCGGTTGAAAAGAGAACTAGTGGCAACAGCTCACAGTGACCCAATACAGGAGAAGTTACTAAACACAGAATTCAGAGACTGTGTTCATGATGACCCCTAACACTTCCATTTAGGGTAAGCAAAGACAATGTTTTCTTGGGGTACGTTCATCAGTGTGTTCAGTATAGGGTAACAGGTGACTCACCAATCTTGAAACGACCCATGTAGTAGATCTGGGTGCTGAGGGCCAGGGACACCAGGATATGGATTGCAGAGAAGATGACCCAGAACCACAGGTCATTTTTTCCAAACACCTAGGAGTAAAGATGGAAGTTACCTTCATCGGGGCTGTTCCCCACAGAACTCATGAAAATCATTCTGTCATGTATGCATACAGAGTCAAACTCCAGGCGTGCATGCATCGTGGTGTCTCCCCGTCGCCCCTAACTTCTGTGAGCTCACAGGTACCTTACTGCGCCAAAACGAATGGCTACCTGTGACAATGGGAGAGGGAAGAAATGGGGGAGGCACCGAACAGCAACAATGAAAGGGCAACAGGTGTAGAGTTGGAAGCCAATACTCTTCAAATAACTGCACCCAACCCACACATGTCCCTGCACATTCCACGAGTGGCGTCCACTCAGTCTCTCTCCGATCAGGTTGTCCATCTCTATGCCGATCTCACGTGAGTCAGGTCCCAGCATGAAGGCGAAACTCTGCAGGGCTAGCTTTACAGGTGCCTCTTACGTTATTAGAGATAACTAGCTCGGTACGTCAGTAAAATACCATGAATTGACCCCCGATGGCCGCCTATCAGGAACCAAGGGTTGTGATTCATTCAAACCCATTCTCCTGAGGTCAAGCAAGCAAACAATGGAAAACCTCCCAAGGGGGCGCCCCCTAGGAAAGCGGGGCTGAAGGCAGCGGGGGCTGGGAGGTGGGCACGCACCACTCCGAGGACGGTGAGCGTGATGACCGCCGCGAAGGAGGCGTAGGCAGCGTAGGCGCTGGCATTGATGTCTGGGTGGCGGGTCTGGTAGAGCTTCAGCATGCAGAGGCCGGCGATCATGTACATGAAGGAGGTATCTGAGGGCACACAGGAGGAATGGAAACAGTCAGGACCCAGTTGGCCACAGACAGATCCTCTGGAGCCTGGGAAACCCCTGCCTCAGGCCCTGGAGTATTTGTCGCCCTCAGACTATGTGGAGACCTCCAACGGGACAGCCTCCACCCCCACGTTCTCTAGCCAGACCCCACACATCCCATTTCTAAAGCCCTCCGAGGCTGTTCCTACTTCACAGAAGCAAAGCATCCGATGACATGGTAAGTAACTGACTATCCCTACTTGTGGAGGAATTTGTGCTTAAATGCTGCTGTTTAGCAGTTGTAACAGGAGTCCATACTGGTGACAATTAGGGAGCTGGGACAATAAAAAGCAACCTAGGTGGCCTGGTAGGTCCTTATCAGCGTCCTGAAATAGAACCACATTGATCGCAGCTCATACCCAGCTTTACAGCCAAGGGATGGAAAACAGCTAGAAATGAAATGTGGTGTAGCTGCATGAGAAGTATGGAAGTACAAATTCAAACAACAAGGCAATGTCCCATATTACTCAAGAATGTAGCGAAACATTTAAATGTCAGACAATAACACGTTCATGCTGATGTAGGGGAATGGGAACTCTCAGGCAGCTACTGGAAGTAGGAATTAATACTCTGCAAAAACTGAGTATTTTGGCAATGGAAGATGCATAAGCCAGGTGACTCCAAAATTCTACGTCTAAGTGTTCCAGGGAACCTCTCCCACGTGGTGCACAAAGAGAACTACGTAAGGGTGTTCACTGGACACTGTGTGCAATGTCTTGATGGTGCCCCATAGATGCAGTGTTCATATTTTTATTACAGAAGATGACAGTCCTTAAAAATGAGTGAACTGGATGTCCTTGATTCAATATTGGTAAATCTTGAAAACATATCATTGGGTGAAAAAAAAAGTTACAGAACAGAGTGTGATAACTAAATATTAATTTACTACAAATGTAGTAGAATTATAAAAACAAACTGGACTGATAAATATCAAATTAGTCATAGCTGTTGCCTCTGGGGAAGGGCGGAATAAGTTTGGAAAGCAGTTCAAGGAACCTCAAACTTTATCACGGTGTTTTATTTCTTAAAAAGTGGATTCAAGGCAAATATTTAAAAGATGTTGGCATTTGTTCTGAGTGGTGACTGATATGGTTCTCTACAGTTTTTTTCTATTAAAAATGTTTCTAACTAAAGAAAATTAAATGTGACAGAATTTCTGTGGTGTTCTGGATTCACAGACAGAGGCTAGAACACAAACATAAAAATGACTGCTTTTAAAATCCCTATCCTTGAGTGTGGGGGTCACTGTTAATTGCCTACTACTAGCATCATTTCTCCCCCGCCTCCTTTCTGACAGCATATCAGTACTAACTCAGATATCTTGCCCCATTTTCAATTCAGAAATTCATGCCTTTCCTATTTGTTTTGGCAAAGCTAACTCCAACTCCTGGTTCTACCAGTGGGTCTCTTGGTCTAAAGGTAGTGCTCCGCCGTTGCCACCATGATCGGTGTACCAACCCATGCTTGAGCTAACCGTGGGCTTGTGACTATTTAAACTACTGAGGTATGGAAGAACGTCATCTGGGGTTTTTGGCAAAGAAATTTCCTTGCTTTTAAATGAAGGCTTCTGGAAACCAGCTTGCTGTATCCACCAAACATCATGAAGTAGAGACGGGAAGCCAGGACCTGCTGTAGCTATTTTTGCCGTCATGAGTTTCCTAAAAGCTTGAGGATAAAATCAGCCTACAGGCCGAGCCCAGCCCAAGCCATTGCAGAGAACTGGAGCCACAGCCGCCTAATGAATCCATCGCAAGCCTTTCCCACCTTTGCACTTGCAGAAGGTGAGCTGATAATTGTCCTTATTATTTAATCCAGTCAAATTGGGCTTTCTATTATTTTCAACCCAAAGCAATCTAATTGCTAAGCTAAGCCAAATTATACTAAGGGAAAATTCCTGATGTCTGTTGGTGGATTCTATCTGCCCATTGCCCACCTGCAGATCTAACCATGGGATCATCATTGAACGTTGAGCCTTTTGTAGTCTGAAAGGTGGTCAGAGGGAAAAGATGGCATGACCCATGAAAACCATGTCCTGTGAGGAGGTGCCCTCAAATCACTTTTGCTCACATAAAATATCATTCAATTCTTGCATACATTTGGGAAGGGTCCCAGGACATGACTCCTATAACTAAAATCTGTGTGGTTGATGGAAATTCTAATTACCGAATTGGAAGTTGGAGTAATTAGGGCAGACGTGGTAACAAGCACTGAGCACTCCTTCCATCATCAATGCAATACCCATTGCATAGAAAACACCAAAGTGTTTAGGAATCCCATATTCCTGAAAGAGGAGAGAGCACGGTCAGTGGAAAGACACCAACTGGTGATATAGCCATACAATCTGGAAACCCAAGCTTCTGGCCTCCTGTTATTCTTTTCCTGTAATCCAACACCACACAATCCAGCCAGATGTCCCTCCCCTTTGCAGATACAGTTCAGAACCATGACCCTTCCTGGCTCCCACGTCTGATTTGGCTGCCCTCTCCTCACCATGGCAAAGATGTCCTTGGCTTCCAGGGCTCTGCGATGGAGAATGTCCCGGCGCAAGACTATCAGCAAGAAGAGGAAGCCCAGGAGCACGTGGCCCAGGTTACTGAGAATGTTGTTGAAGGCACTAAGGGATGAGAGGGAAACCATGAGAGAGTCCAGGCGATCCAAGAGATTTGGAGGATGAATGAAGGAATGCACGCATGAACGAGTGAGTCCTCTCAGCATCCCATGTTTTCTGCCCAGCCTTCTCATCAGATTTCACGACTGGCAAATCATCAGAGATCATCTTTAGCCTTACTCCTTTATTTTAGGATGCCTAGCCTGTGATAATGTGTCTGTCCATTTCTGCCCTGGATGCCTGATTGGCTTCCCTGATACCCACTCAGTCCTCTCTTATCCCGAAGATTGGCATGGAATGAATCCTGGGAAACAGCTGCTTCAGGGATGGGCAGCTTGGCCGAGGGTCTCAGCTGCGCTGTGAGAGGGAATTCTCACAGCTGGACCCATGCTGTGCGTGTCAGTATTCAGCTCTGTAATGGTGAAGTGTCAGCTGGTCATAGCCAGCTGCTTTATTTCAGGAAACTGAGGCTGGTTTAGTTCTGGAACAAGAAGCCTGGCTCCCAGCTGCCAGACAAATGCTCTTTCTACTTCCCCATGTTCTGGAGGGCAGAGCATGGCCTTGGAGGCAGCAGGCCTGGGTTCGAGTCCTGACATCACTGACAGGTGAAGAACCTCCCCCAAGGCCTTACCTTTCTAAGCCTAAGCATCTTCATCTGAAAGTGGGAGTAATGATAATCCTATCTAGTTTATGAGGTTGTTCAGTGGATTAATGTACGAGGAATTCATGCTCATGGATGTGAGTCATTACATCTAGGACCTGATCTTTTCGAAAAATCCCCACCCTCTTCTCAGCTGGTTATTCTTAGGACTCTCTTCTGCGGCCCCTATACAGGAATGAGAGGAGCACATCTGGTCTCAAAACTTCTAGATTTCATCCCTCTTTACCCTCAACTGGGGTAGTTTTCCATGGTTGTTTTTAGTATTTTTAAAAAACTGACGTTGCATCATCTAGAAAGGCATCTCTAAGTGCCTCACGGGCAACTGGAGGGCAGGGCTCACCTCAGGACGCCGAGGGGGTGAGCACAGAGGAAGTTGTAGTAGCAGATGTCCTGATTGCCAGTGACATTCGCCACCTGCAACATCAAGAGTGAGAAGAGGAGATGCAGTGTTTCTCCATCTGCTGAACCCAGCCTGAGATCACAAAAGGCAGGCCCTGCTCACAGCAATTTACCATGTAACCAGCGTTCCTCCTCAGCAGGGGATGGGTCGTCGTCTGCCCTCCTCACACAGCACAGGGTTATTAGGACCGTCATGCTATGTTCTATTTTCTAGATGCGTGTTGGGAGGGTACAGAGCTGTCCCTTTCTGTGCGCAGAAGTGATAACCACAGAGCAAGGTGATGTGAGGGGGGTTGTGTTCAGTTATCTGTCTTTATCACCATCTCTAACGTTAAGAACCTTCCCAGGCCATAGTACAGCTCTATCTTCCTACAGGGCCCTGGAGATTAGAAGCAGTGGAGACCAAACCTCATAAGAGTCCTCACCCTTATTGCATTATTAGGTAGGGAATTGGCTAAATACTATTAGACCATTGGCTTTCAAACTTGGCTGTACACTAGAGTCACTGGGGGTTTAATCAATACGGGTGCCTGGTTCTATTCTCAGAGACTTGGATCTAATTTGGTATAGGGTAAAGCCTGGACATCAGGATTTAAAAACTCCCCAGGTGATTTTGATGCACAGCCGTTTGGGAGACGCTGTATTAGAAACACTGTCAGCCTCATCCTTTCAAAGCAGGCTTTCTGTGTGTGATAAACGCTGGAGAAGGTAATTATGGGATCTGGATCCTAAGGTTCTATGAACTATGAGGAGGATTCTCAAGCTGCTTTAATTACTATCTTTGTTTATTTGTTTTTACTTAATTTTTGTTCTTATTTTATATTTCCTAAATTTGAATATCTTACTAGTTTTGTAAAGCTGTTTTTAGTTTTATAAGAAAATAGTTACCCTCAACGAGAGGGCGCAGGCTAAATTACACACCGGGTTTCTTTGTTTTGGTCTGGAACTTATTTACTCTATTCATTACCCCTTGATAATCAGAAGTTCAGCCTGGTAAATGACAGATATAGTTGCTAGATATTATGACTGAAAGAGCATCAGGTGATACCTTCGATTTGGGTGACAAAATAATACAAGAGGTCTCAAGCCCTTCTGTGATAAAACAGTTGGGAACTAGATCTAAAGGTCCATCAAAGATGAAGCAATGGACAGGTCCAGTTGGAACTGAAATGGGAAATTCACACTTGGACTGAGCTCAAGTGATAGATACCTTTCTCTGTAAGTCCTAGCAAAGATCTCTCCCTGCGGTATGAAACTGGGATTCTGGGATCTGGGCAGCACTTACTGTCTGGTAGGTGATAACCAGCTGGATCACAGGCAGCGCATAAAACACAGCGATGGTGACGATGTTCCTAAGCAGGCAGAAAGAACCGGAAATAGTTGTTTCCAAATTAACAATGAATCTTTGCTCAATTTTTTTAAAAAAAGAATCCTTCCACCTCATAACTCCTTAGTTCACTTGTAAAAGTAGTTAGAAACGGATTATAGAGCTCCTGTCTCTGCAGCATCCCAAAACTATAATCACTGGTAAAACTATAAATAACACTTGTTTCTGCTTTACCCAAATTATGGATGAGGGCCTCTTCCTTTAGAATGCTGTCTGATTAAAAGTGATCAGAGTGTAAGTAATGGGAGATGGAGTATATGAAGGGATATGGCTCTCTAAGATACCTTAGTTCCAAAATGATGGTCCCACTATGAAATTCCACGGGGCCCCCACTGCCTCTGCTTCCCTGGGATATCTGTATCCAAGTAAAATGGCGGCCCTCCAGAGAAAAGAACGGAAGAGCTGTCACAGCGTCAGTTTGGGATTTCTGAGCAGAGGTCGGGGGTGTAAGGGTGTCACCTGCCAGGCAGCTCAGCCTCTCGGTTTGGAAAGAAGCTGCATCTAGGTGCTTGACCACCATGGGTCTGTTTATCACCCCCTGGGGTACCATCTCCTTTCAGGGTGGTTTCCAGCTACTCTGAGAAGCTGTAGATCTCTAGTCCTGGAAATCACTGGCTCTTCTAAGAGCCAGGCAGGGTGAGAAGACAGAATACATACTAAGAACATAAAGGCTCCAGTGTAGTGTCTCTCATGGAAGGTAGTGACATGTTATTGTTATGTTGTCTTTCTGGAAATGGGAGTTGGTGTGATCCCTAAACAAAAGGGATTCTACTACCATTCTCCTTTTTCCTTTTTTTTTTTTTTTTTTAAAGATTTTATTTTTGTCAGAGAGAGAGAGCGTGAGTGCACAAGTAGGTGGGGCAGGAGAGGGAGAAGCAGGCTCCCTGCCAAGCAGGGAGCCAGATGAGGGACTCAATCCCAGGACCCTGAGACCATGACCCAAGCTGAAGGCAGACACTTAACTGACTGAGCCATCCAGGTGCCCCAACTTTGTATGTCTTTAATTTAGGGCTGGTTGCCTTTTATAGTTATTTTTGTTTTTCTTACAGAATGTAACATGAATTCTCAAAACATCTATACTTTTGCTTCATTAAATGGAAACTGGTGTCATAAGTGATTGTGGCTTTTACTAAGAAAACTTTCATTTTACTTAGGGAACCATGGTCCCAATAGTCATCTACTCACCAAAAATAAATCTTATATTTTTTGCTGACAATTCTCCGGTCCTTCCTGGACAGATCTGACAGGTAAAGGAACATCTAGGATACCAAATAAAAAGAGAGTGCACAACTGTACATGGCAGAAGATACCAAGGAGAGCTTTACAAAATTTCAATCCAATCCCTCGCTAGGGATTAAAATGATTTAATAAAACGTTTCTTTCAATTTTTTCCCCCACAACACCTCAATAAAAATCCTAGCATTTTCTCTGAAATAGTAAGAATTGGCTGATGCGGAAAACGTATTGGGAGTCTCAGATGCTTCATATATCTCAGGAATGGGTTTTCAGTTTTCAGAGATGTCCACTGTGTGGTTTTTGAATGACAGGATTGAAATTAGACAACCTGCTTTCATCTCCTTTACTGGTTACAACACAATATAATAAATATACGCCGGAAAGAAATGAGCTTTATTCCTGAAGGACGATATGTGCAAAACCAGGGAGTTTTCCCGGGTGTACCCCTCAGTGAATCTCTACTTCCATCTGCTGGATCTCTTCTGCCCTTCTGGTCCTCAGTCAGCCACTTCAGACCCTGAGTGGTGTTGTTTAAAGTTTTATTTACTCAAGTAATCTCTACACCCAACGTGGGGCTTGAACTTACAACCCAGAGATCAAGAGTCCCATGCCCTTCTGACTGAGCCAGCCTCGCGCCCCCAGACCCTGAAGACGGGAATAGATTGCGGTGTTCTAAATGCTCTCGCTTCCTTCTTCCAGAAAGAGATGTTAATTAGCCGAGTACTGCTTTTAGTCCGTACTTGTGTTTTATCTCTAAAGCCCTCAGGGAAGTTTGGTTTTCCCTTGCAAGGAAAAGAGAGGAAACGGAGTTTTGCTGAAGGTGTGTTTGTTGAACTTTCTTTCCGCCCTCACCCTGAGTTTGATCAGGCAGAGGTACCTTGGTCCGGATAACGTTCTTGTCACTCTCAATGTCTGGCATGGTGTCGAAGTCACTCTCCTCCACGGAGCTGTCTGTGTCTGACTGGCACGTCTGCCCACCATCGGAGGAGGACATCTGCCTGCCAGGACTGGAGCTTGACTCCTCTGAAACAGAGAAAACTCAGCTGCCTTCCAGAGCCAGTACCATGGAGCCCATTCCTCTCTGTAAAAAAGCACAGTGCTGACTCATTCTTGAAAATGTGTTGAAAAATGAACTCCTTCCCCACAACACATGTTCTTTCTCTTAATTCCTCCTCAGTGGACTTCTAATTTTCCTCTTCTCCTATTTTTTTATATTTACATTGTCTATTTCTAGAAGAACATATGAAGAACATAAAGGCATTTGCTCTGATAAGGTATTTGTATGCAAAAATAAGATGACGTTTATATGTTATGTTTCATATTTTAAAATATGAACATAAATATATAAACATGTACATGCACGGTTCTGTATGGCATCTTCCACATGTCCGTGTAAGCACACACATATCCAGGGGCTGTATATTGCTCGTGGATAAAGTATGTGTACGCTGAGACCCCCCACATGCTGCATCTATGATTACAGCATGAGAACACCACTCTCAGGAAGAAGAATCCTCGTGTTCTTGTGACTGTTTCCCAGAGCAGATGGGAATTTGTGCAGCTCGATGAGCCCATGAGCAGAGCCTACCTTCCGCTTTATTTCTTTGGTTCAGAGAATTAAACACGCGCGCGCACACACACACACACACACACACACACACACTCGCCTGTTCTCGCAGAGCCAGAAATAAGTAGCCTGCACGAAACTCACATGCTTCTCCAAGCTTCAGCACACGAATAGAATAAGGACTCTCAGCCCCTTTGCCCTGACATTTTAAATGAATCATTCATAGACCGACAGAATTCTGTCTCTTTCAGGCCACGCAATGAACACTGGGGGGTTGTCATGTGAATGACTAGGTTCAGTTATGAAGTTAACCAGAAAGAGCAATTGTTTGCCTATGGCCATGTTCACCTGCAGCAGAGCCTTACTCTTCTGATCGCCCTCACTCCACTGAAACCTGAGAATGAAACAGCTCGTCAATTGATGTCAGGCTCCCTGACTTGACTCTGACACACTGTTCATGCCCTAAACTCAGGCTGGGTCTGAAAGTATCCCCACGGGGACCTTGGGGGTCGATGGCAGCCACGGTAGGGAATTCTGCTTATGTGTGGCTGGCACAGAAGAACAGAACTGGAGAGAGTTAGAGCTGGAAGGAGACTTCCAGATCACCCAACCGATACATCTTATAAAGAAAAGACAATCTTACAGGATGACCGCATCACGCACTCTCACAGTCAGTAGTGGCTGGAGGGCCCTTTATATCCTATTCTCTGGAGAATTAGGAAATACTTCAACGAATGAACTCATTGTAGGAAATACCTATTGCCCCATAATTGCTTCCTTCAGGGGTGCCGGCAGCAATGGGATGGGACGCCACCATGTTTTCAGAGCCTGTTGGAAAGAAACACAGAGAGGCCAACACTTAACATCCAGTTGCCAAAACAGAACAACACAACTCTAAGTAGTTTGAATAATCAGATCACAACATTTTGAACTTGATTTTCTTTTTACTCGAATACAAGACTCACTGAACTCGACCTGTGGGCCAAATCTAGCCCACCACCTGTTTTTGCCTGCCTCTTTTTTTTTTTAGAGTTTTATTTGTTTTTTTCAGTTTTTTTTCTTATTTTCACCTCTTTTTGAATAATTTCCATTCTTTTATATGTATGTATATACATACATACATATATATGTATATATACACTCACACATATATATGTGTATGTATATGTATATATATATAGTTTGATTTCTTTCATTCTATTTTATTTTTCTTTCTTTCTTTCTTTTTTTTGAATTAACATATATTATTAGCCCCAGGGGTACAGGTCTTGTTTTTGTCTGCCTCTTGAAGTAAGAATGGTTTTAAAATTTTTAAATGGTTGGGGAATGAAATCAAAGGAAGAGTTCATGACAGGTAAAAATTATATGAAATTCAAATTCCAGTGTTCATATATGAAGTTCTATGGAAATAAAGCCACGGTCATTTGGGTTCGTCTATGGCTGCCTTTGGCTATAGTGGCAGAGTTGAGAAATTGCGAGAGAGACATCTGACATTATTTGCTCTTTGGCACTTTACAGGGGAAAAAACCCTCCTGGTTCCCGCCTGAAGGGACTGCAGAATCCCAAGAACAAAGGAGCACAGGTCTTGAAATTATTTTGAGGAAGGCCACCACTGAACAGAAACATGGAATTAAAGCCCTGTAATTTGGATGTTTTTAAAATAGCATTTAGCAGTACCCTATCTGCAGGATGAGCCCAGATAGGGAGGAAATTACTCCACTCCTCGGAGCAACCAATGATGACAACTGAGCTGGGGATGAGGAAGAATGTGAGATATTTTGAGAGGGATTTCTGGATCTGTTGCCAAATGTCTGTTGGCAGGGAGAGAAAAATGGAATAAGATAATGTTCCTCAAATGTTTCCATTGAGGTTCTCCTGGTAGCAGCCCAGGGAGTGACCTCGTTCCTGAGTCTGGCGGTGTCCTCTGGAGCCAGGCCACTCAAGCATCGGAGGAAAACATCTCTCGACAGTCTCCTTGGTTATGAGGCAAGATGCTCAGTGAGTTTATCCACCTCTGAGGATTAGGCAGAGCTGAACAAGGAGAGGAGAAGCCACAAACAAGCAGCCTATCTAGGCGTTTCTCGGACTCTAACTTAATGCTACAATGTTTCCAGGAGCCACCCTGGTCTGTGGAGATGCAGGAGAATATGTCTTCACTGCCTCCTGAGCTTTGTCGAGGATCTGGGATGTTATCAGGCTGGCGGGAATCACAATATTGTATCTTTCTTCTGAGGTGATGTTGCTTGTATCACATTCCAGTCAAAAAAAGAGTCTGTGAGTGAACCGGTCAGTCTGGTATACTGTTGCAGGGAAATACATTTTCAGTGAAGACACATAACTGAGGATAGTCTATAACAACCTCATTGTAAATATCTTTCCATTTCTTCATAGAAAATACACTTCGTTACAGCTTACATTCCTGCCCTAGTACATAACACGCGGAACCAAAAGCCTCCAACAGTTCATCTCTTGTCACAGCCAGCTCTCCTCACCCAGCTCATAAACTTCCTCCCACTGGTGGGTAGTAAAAACATTACAAACAAGCCAATTTGTAGGTTATATCATGTTTTTAAACTCTTGGTGTGTCCATTCTTTTTCTTCATGAAGAAAAAGAATTAAATCCTGAATTCAAAATATTTAGCTGCGTGATAAAAGATGGCCTGGGAGACTCCATTTCCTTCCTTCTTTTGGTAGCTTAGCCAAGAGTGGGCTCAGCTGGACAGCAAGGCCTTTGGCTAATACAGCGGTCCTGGTGGGCAAGGCTGTTTCCAGGCCCTCGGAATGCAGACTCCCTGGCACTATCCTTAGGCCTGGGGATTCCTTGATCTGTGTCTTATCACTTCAAGAGAGTAGATGTTCCTCGGCCCTTCTTGGGCTCACCTGTAAATATGTAACATGGTGTCAACACCCTCTATGCTTTTCATCCAACTTCAAGGCAAAGAAGGAGGTTATTTGCAGATGCTTAAGTATGAGGTATTAAATTTTTTTGTGTGCAATAGCAGTGTCATATGGAAACGTCATGTACAATTTGATGGGCTCTTTGACCTAGGACAGATTTAGCCATAGTTAAGAGCACAGAGCCTTGCTGCTGTGACTGCTGACCGTAATGAGTCCCACTTACTATTCCCACACCCACTAGTACTGCTACCGTAACTCATGCTCCCATTGCTGTTACTACTGCTGTGCTTGCTGCTGTTACTACTAACTACTACTACTACTACTACTGGCCAGTGTTTACTGATAACTTAGTGTATGTCAGACATCCTTTGAAGTTCTTTGCAAGAATTTACTCTTTTAATTTTTCAATAGCCCTATGAGGTGGGTACTGTGATCACCATTTTAAAATAACATAAGGGAGACACTTGAGAAATCAAGGATTTGCCCAGAGTTCCTTGGATAGTGGATGGAGAGAGGTTCATTGCATTGGTTTCAGTTAAAACTTATCTTCTTCTTCTTTTTGGGGGGGAAAGAGAGAGAGAGAGAGAGAGAGAGAGAGAGTGTGTGTGTGTGTGTGTGTGTGTGTGTGTGAGCAGGGGGAGGGTCAGAGGGAGAGGGGGAGAAAGAATCTTAAGCAGACTCCACGCCCAGCATGCAGCCTCATTCAGGGCTTGATCTCCTGACCCTGGGATCATGACCTGAGCTGAAACCAAGAGTCAGATGCTTAACCGACTGCGCCCCAAAACTTTTCTTCTTCTTCTTCTTCTTCTTTTTTCTTTAAAGATTGTATTTATTTATTTGAGAGAGAAAAAGAGGATATGAATGGGGGGAGGGGAGCAGGGTAGAGGCAGAGAGAGAGAGGGAGAAGCAGACTCCCTACTGAGCAGAGAGCCTGACACAGGGCTCAATCCCAGGACCCTGGGATCATGATCTGAGCCGAAGGCCTGGTGCCCCCCAAACTATCTTCATAACTGAAAAATAATACAGGGATTTTCTTTCAAGATATGAATATCAAGTGTGTTACTTTCACAGAGTGCCCAAGAATATCTTTCAAAAGAGACAAGGAGGTTGAGACTTATTTGCATCTCCACTATAGTAAGCTGATACTTTAAAGAAATATCTAAGCACAACCTTTGCTTTTTAGGTGGTCCACTGCTGCTTGCTGATGATGCTCTATTGGGTCATGCTAGTATCTTCTGTCTAGTTCACTGCAGGGAGTTTCACAGAAACCATGGTGATGGGCTCATCCCAGGTGATGTGATCTTTTACATTTCCCTCAGTGTCTTTCACATTTTTCTCTTTCCAAGCTTAAACTCCCTCTTTTTAAAACTTTCTATTCAAGTATAATTAACATACAGTGTTATACTAGTTCCAGGTGTACAACATGATTTGACAATTCTATACATAACGCAGTGTTTATCATCAGTGTACTCTGAATTCCCATCACCAGCTTCACCCATCTCCCCACCCACCTCCCCTGGTGACCGCCACTTTATTTTCTGTATTTAAAAATCTGTTTTTTTTAATTCATCTTTTTTTTTCTTTGTTCGTTTGCTTTGTTTCTTAAATTCCACAAATGAGCGAAATCATATGGTATTTGTCTTTCTCTGACTGACTTATTTCACTCAGCGTTATACCCTCTAGATCCATCCATGCTGTTGCGAATGGCAAGATTTCATTCTTTTTTATGGCTGAGTAGTATTCTTTTTCTTTTTAAAGACTTATTTATTTATTTTAGAGAGACAGTGTGCGAGGGGGAGAGACAGAGGGGGAGAGAGAGAATCCTGAGGCAGACTCCCTTCTGAGCACGCAACCCGATATGAGGCTCAGTCTTACCACCCTAAGATCATGACCTGAGCAGAAACCAAGAGTCAGCCACTTAAAGGACTGAGCCACCCAGGTGCCCCTGAGTAATATTCTGTTACACACACAAACACACACACACACACCCCCCACAGCTTCTTCATCCATTCATCTACCTATAGACACTTGGGCTGTTTCCATAATTTGGTCATTATAAATAATGCTGCAAGAAACATAGGGGTACATATAACATTTTGGATTATTGTTTTCATTTTCTTTGGGTAAATGCCCAGTAGAAATTATTGGATATATGATAATTCTATTTTTCAATTTTTTGAGGAAACTTCATACTGTTTTCCACAACAGCTGCACCACAACAGCTGCACCTGTGTGCATTCCCACCAACAGTGCACGAGGTTCTTTTTCCTCCACATCATTACCAACACTTGCTGTTTCTTGTGTCTTTTATTTTAGCCATTCTGACAGTATGGCAGGTATCTTATTGTGGTTTTCATTTGCATTTCCCTGATGATAACTGATGTTGAACATCTTTTCATGTGCCTGTTGGCCATTGGATGTCTCCTTTTGGAGAAATGTCTGTTCATGTCTTCTACCCATTTTTTTTTAAAGATTTTATTTATTTATTTGTCAGAGAGAGAGAGAAAGAAAGGGCTCACAAGCAGGCAGAGTGGCAGGCAGAGGTGGAGAGAGAAGCAGGCTCCCTGCTGAGCAAGGAGCCCATGTGGGGCTCCATTCCAGGACCCTGGGATCATGACCTGAGCTGAAGGCAGCAGCTTAGCCCACTGAGCCACCCAGGTGTCCCTCTTCTACCCATTTTTAAAATGGATTTTTTTTTTGGTTTTTTTTTTTTTTTTTTTTTTTTTTTTGGTGTTGAGTCGTATAGGTTCTTTATATATTTTGGATATAATCCCTTATTGGATAAATCATTTGCAAATATCTTCTCCCATTCAGTAAGTTGACTTTTTGTTTTGTTGATGGTTTCCTTTGGTGTGCAGAAATTTTTATTTTCGTGTAGTCTCGAGAGTTTATTTTTGCCTTTGTTTCCCTTGCCTGAGGAGACATAGATA